TTATGTACTATGTAGCTAAAAACTAAGTTTTCGAGTTAAAAACAATATAAGCACTTTCGATCTTGACTGTCTCTTCGTCGTCGTGTCCCGCATGATGGCTTATTTGTCTTACACAATCAACCTTGCTGCTCTAGCATCAGAGAGACGATCACAGCCACTGATTCTAGGTTTTACTTAAGCTGACCTTGTGTCAAACATAAATGATTCGACTCGTACAAATATATAGTGAAATTAGCAAAGACGATATTCACAGTAATGCAGTGATGATTCGCGATCAATGGAATGTACATATATGTATAACCCTCCCAACACTCGACGACATTCCTATAACCCACTCAATCATGTATTTGAGTATCAAATACTCATTACTTATAAGTAAGAGCAACTGATACTCAATGGTAACAGCACATATGAACTCGGTGTTCAATATAACTTGGTCAGTAATGTCAAATGATTTTTGATATCTTTGAGCTCAACCGTGCAACAAGTCCATGGCCAAGTCGATGTTCTACATCAGGAAACACCAATTAAAAAAGAGGGAGTCCACCTCGAATTAACCTGAAAAATCTTACCTAGAGAAAAGGTTATGTCCGTTTTAGTAGATAGTGTTGGGTTAGTTTTCAAAATACTATCCAACTTAGTTGAAAAATATTTTCGTCCTTCAAACATTGTCGTCGAGACCCCAATTTTTTATATATTGTATGTATATGAATGTTATAGTTTGTGGTAAAAAAAATTTAAATTTTAGTCGACGTTTGTCATGCTAAACATATTTTTTCTTTTCACTGTTACACAACTAGCATTTTCTGAAATTCCCTCTAATGTTTTCCAAAATCAAATCACACGAACAATTATCTTCCATTATATATATTCCAAACTCCAAAGTATTTCTTATTTACAAGTTATTTTAATTAACATTAAAGAGCTCAAACGGGATTTTTTTTAAAGCTCTGAGTTCAGAGAATTTGGAGCATTAATAAACAAGAAATTATGTATACATAATATATAACAATATGATTATTTCACTTAGATAGTCAACGAGCCAAGCTTTCGAAATGGTGATGTCATGAAACCACTTGTAAGCTTCTGAGATCCTCCTTTGAGTTATCGTGTAGGTAGCTCTAAAAAAGGAAAAAAGAAAATGTTAAAAGAAGCATAGATGAGTTAGCGTAGCGTACTTTACTAAAGTTATATAATACTTAGCCGGGCATAATTATTCTCCACTTGATTTTGAATGCTTTCCACTTATCATGTTCTACCTCCCGAAATAGATTAAGGTACATCTCGTCAAGAAACCTACTCTTTTCACCTAGTTGTGAAGGGAGAAGCAATGTACTATAACGGTAATCTCGACTTCTTGCCGACTACCTGCTCTGACATGTCAACAATACATTTCTTACCTTCAGTCATGACGAGCGTTCTCTCATCCTCCATCCTCGGGACCTCCCCTCCTCAGGGCTACCTACCTTCTCCGCCATCAAGGCCATCCCCTCTGTCCTCCCCTCTTCCGCCACCTCTCCTGTCCCTAATAGGACCATCCCATCCATCATCCTGTCATTTGCCACCTCTGCCATCACTATCGGGGCCACTCGCTTTCGCTTTATAGATAACAAAAATGATTCTAATGCAATATTATCTGGCCACAACTCTTATCTCTGTCACCCTCCCTGTCACCCCATCCCTTGCCCATGTTAAAAGTCTACGAAGTGGTCACATAGCACTCCAACATAATAGGATAAATCGTCTACTTTTTGTATAAATCGCAATGTGCCCACCTCCTTCGCTATAAATCGTAAAAGTATGATACTCACCTGAGAGCCTTTGAGGAGAGCTGATAACTGTTTACTAAATGGACATCAGTTTGCTCGGGATGCTTGTCAATGATGTATTCGAAGGCAGCGTGTCCCACCTTGCCTCGCAAACTATGTACCCAAGATGGGGATAGTCTCATATGCCTAGATCTGTAACACATATAATTATTATATATAAATTTCATATAAAAAAATTATTTTAATATTGATTATGTTAAAAATTTACCTGCATTGCTAGAGACAATCCATAAGTATCGTACTTATGCATGGACCCTTTGAGCTTTGAGTGTGATATGATGAAGACGTGTACGGTATCCTTAAAATATTTTCGTTCTCAGGAATAGTTGTTGAAGGCATCGACATCGTCACCAACTTCCAAATGGAGAAGGTCAATTGTAGTTTTCTTGTGATGACATCACACCATACTCTCAAGAATATAGACCAGTCATAGCTTCAGTCTGTCTAACATCTGGTCGCACTCCATGATTGCGCCAATTAGATGCGGTAGAAACACCTATCCCTATCTTTGGAAATATGCGTCGTGCAACCTATTGCTTGTTTGAGTATCGTCACGAGCTATTTGTGTAATCCTCAATCTAGTCATTACAGCAAACTCGAACATGGTGAAAGTTGCGACATTGCCCTCGAGGTCAAAGCAGAAGGCATCACTATCGATGGGCTTAAGTAGCCAACATAGTAGTGCACTGTGCATCGATGATCTGTCCGGATTACTGTACCTCCTTTAATTGATACTAGGGACAGAGGAAGGATTGACGTAGAATATTCGTGTGTCGATCATCTAACAACTCTAGTACGATAATGAAACTGTCAAAGCTACTGTTCCAAGTAGCTTTCCGTGCCATCCATCTCAACTCAGCATTTAAATGGTAGTTCATTCTACAAAAAATTAAATGTTAGAATATTGAGCAAGAGATAATGGAAGAAAGTATAATCTTAGAAAATTAAGCTAATCGAATTGTAACTATTATACTGTGGATTATTTTACAATGATGCTAATAAAAAATAAATGATTTGATGAATTAAAAGAGAAGAAAAAAAATTACAAGCAAAAAAAAAAAAAAAGATATTATAAAGTTTTTTAATTAAAATTAAAAATAAATATTATTTAATTAAATTTGAAAAAATTAAAAACAATTTCAAATCGAAAAAAATTATTTATAATATGAATAAAAAAATAGAAATTTTAATACTATTTCAAAAAAATAATAAAAAATAAAACAAAATAAACAAAAGAAAGTTATGAAAATTAGAAAAAGAATATACAAATATTATTTAATTAAAATTTAAAAAAATTAAGTTTTATCATAAAGAAAAAAGAATTAAAAAAAGTCATTTATAATATAAACAAAATAATTAAGAAATTTAAAAACTATTTCCGAAACAAATTGTAATAAAAACAAAACAAATTAAACAAAAGAAAAAAACAAATGAGGAGAAAAAAAAATTTTTAAAAAAGGAAAAAAAGGGAACGACTTTTCAGCCCAAACGATGGCTAGGCTCAGCCCATATGGGAAAAAACAAAAATAAATAAATAAATAAAATGGAACAACAATCGCTATGTAGGCCAACCGACTATTTATAGTCAGTGAGCAAAGTCAATTTTCTTCGAAAATGAGATCAACTGTTTATAGTCAGTGAGCAAAGTCAATTTTCTTTGAAATTTGTCATTTTCGACGACTTAAAATGTTTTTTTTTGTTTTTTTTGGCCAAAATCCATTCTGAACCCAATAATCTACCTAAATAATGAAGAATAAGCATAATAAATAACAATTTAATACACAAATTCACAAAACATGCAAAATGGAAAATCAATCTATTAAACCCACAAAAAAATTATCTTTATTGAAGATAATGATCGAGTTTTGTGGTGATCGGTGTTGGGTGACAACTTCGATCATATCCAAATGTAAAAACTGAGTGAATTTTTTCCTTTTTATTCTCTGTTTTTTTTCTTCTTTTTCTTCTTCTTTTTTTTTTTTTTTTTCGTTGAAGATGAGGGCAATTTTGATAAATGTTTTATAAAATTTCTATTTTAATTTTTAATGATCATAGGCTATTGTGAAAATACGACCAAATCAAATGGCAATTTCCACCTCGATTCATTTTAATGCATTCCCTCGATCCCATTCCTCCGAATCTTATTTCCTAATTATATTCTTATCCTCTAATTCAATACAGTACATATCAGCCACTTGTGCTTGTTTACCGTTTCTCAACTATTAACTATAAATATTTGAAAATCCCAAACAGTAGGAAAACCCAGGTAAAAGATTAAAAACATCTCACCTTGAAGTCTCCCCGTCTCCGATGGCTTCCCCAGCTACGAGATTTGTCTTCGCACTTCTTACATTTGTCACCGTAGGAATGATAATCGGTAACTCCTCCGAATTCTTTATTTTGAGCATTTCTGTGATAGATTCCTGTACCGGACTGAGTTTTGATTTTTATTTTCTGACAGTTTTAACAAATAAGAGGAAGAAAAGATATGGTGTTATTGTAAAAATTTATTTATGCAAAAATGAGTAATTTTAGCGCCAATGACTGATGATTTTATTAGGCCTTAGATTTGACTCCAAAAATATATAGAAAATGTAATTTAAGCTATATAATAATAATAATAATAATAATAATAATAATAATAATACTAGCATCTAGACGAAGAAGATTTATTATTATTATTATTATT